TTTATTAAGATCAAATTCATATACAATGAAATTCACCAATCCTAAGTGGTAGGATATGATGAATTTCCAGTAAACATACATAATGTATCACTGTGTGACAAGCGCGATAACTTACACATGGAACATTCTTGTCCCCTCAATTCCTTGCCTCCATCTGTGGTTCTGCATAATCGCAGATCTACTTCCCATCAGTGTGGTGTGGAATTTTCTTTAATTCAATATAAATGGAATCATGGAGAACAAAGGCTTCGTGTCTGGCTCCTCTCACCTCCCCACAATTGATTTGAGAGTCATAGATGGTGTTGGACCCGTTGGCAGCTCACCCTTTGTATGGTTGAGAAAATGTTTCATTGTGCAGGATATTGATACAATTTGAGTATCCATTTATCAGTTAGGAGACATCTGGGTTGTTTCCAGTTTCTATTATGACTAAAGCTCCTATAAGCATATGAGTATGAGTCGTTGTGTAGATATGTTTTTATCACCGCTGAGTAAATAGCACAGTGGAATTGCTGGCTGGAACGATAAGTGAATGTTTAACTTGGTAAGAACCTGCCAAATTCATCTGCAAAGTGGCTGCACTTCTCTGCATTCAGCAAGAAATGAACGTTAGTCATTCCCCACATTCATCATCGCATAGTGTCATCCGCCTTTTCCCGTGGAGTCCTTCTAATAGTAACCTTTTGTGGATTTAAATGGCTCACTCCTAACAATTAATAAAACAGGCATCCATACACTTCACTATTTTTCATAAACTCTCACTGAGTACCATGTTTTAATAAAGTTCATTCTATACCTTATCGTAAGATAACTGTAATAACCTTATCTGAGTCCTTCATATATTCTGTAGGAAATCCCTTCATTGGAAAATTGCTTTACAAATAGTGGGGAGGCCTCTAAACATTTTTAAGGGCATCGTTTTTAAACAGATGTTTTATTTTGGTGCACTTAATCATTTTCCTTCTCACACTTTTTTGCTTTGTATTCTAAAATAAAATGACTGATGAACCCCACATCATGAAGAGTTTCACTTCTTTTAACAGGCCAGAGCTGCAGCTCCGCGGTGGCTCTTCAGGGGGTCTTTGAGTTTGCTTGTTCTGTTTCGCATTAATGAGGCTTTCCAATGTCCCCAGCACCATTTCCTGCGAAGACTAAGTTCTTCCTTTGGCCTTCCTTGATGCTCTGTGAAACATTCAGTTCTTCACATTTCTGCATCTCTACATTCCAACTCCGCTTCAGTCTATTCATCTCTATTACTGTCTGCACGCCTAACGAAAACTGCCTTGATTAGCACAGCTTCAGGGAGTGAAGGTCACCCAACTCCATCAGTTTATAAAACAGTAACATCTACAAACTGATTTCATTGGACTTACATTTACTCTGAAGAAAATAAAAATATTCACAATTTTAAGGATTCTGATTCATGGACATGTTCAATTTCTTTGCTGATATGTCTGTATTTCCTCAACAATGTTTCATTGCTTCAGGTATAGAAGTAATCAACAGGTTATTTTTATCCTTAGGTATTCAACTTTGAAAAAAAAGATTGGGCCCAGCGTGGTAGCCTAGTGGCTGAAGTCCTTGCCTTGCAGGCACTGGGATCCCATATGGATGCTGGTTCTAATCTTTAAATAAAAAGATTTATTTATTATTACTTTTTTTTTACTGGAAAGTCAGATCTACCGAGAGAGGGAGACACAGAGAGAAAAATCTTTCATCCACTGGCTCATTCTCCAAGTGGCTGCAATGGCTGGAGCTGAGCCACTCCAAAGCCAGCAGCCAGGAGCCTCCGCCAGGCCTCCCATGCAGGTGCAGAGTCCCAAGGTTTTGGGAGTTCCTGGACTACCCTCCCAGGCCACGAGCAGGGATCTGGAAGGACACAAACTGGGTCCTTACGGAATTCTGGTGCATGCAAAGCAAAGAACCTAGCCACTAGGCTACCACACTGGGCCCAAGTTTTCAATTTTTATAAGATCATAATGCTACTGTAGCAGGAACTTAAAATTTTTTTTTCCAGTTGTCAGATGTTTGCATACCTGTCTTATCTACTATTGCCTTGCAGGAATGCCTCATCTGTGTTTGTCTTTTAGACCCCTTAGCATTTTCTACATAGATGAGCACACCATCTGACCAGAGGAACTTTGCTTCTTTTTAATTTCCAATTCCTGTGTCAATGAATTAATTCTGATTCACAGTGAAATGCGGAGAGGAAGTGGTGAAGACAAACGTATTTACATGGGTTGAGATGAAAATGATCACACCGGTCTTTGATCACAAAGGATGAGTTTCATGTAGCGCTTTCATCAAATACAACAAGTTTTCTTTTATTTCAAGCTGTTTCTGTTTTTAAATCTACTTTTGTTCAGACGAGAAAATGATTTTTCTCTTCTATTGTGTTAGTATGGAAAATCCCTTACTTTGATAAATAAACATTAAGCTAACCGTTGCATTCCAGAGACAAGGAGAGACAACTGACAATGCAATGCAGAGACACCTGACAAGGAAAAACTCTATATCCAAAAATAGTTAGAAGGTAGCTTTAAAAAAAAACTTTGAATTAACCCATTTTCATCTAGTGATTTGTACTTTTCTACAAGTATAAACCAATGCTTTTCTTCAAGCTGCTTGCCATTATTTGCTTCTAATGACTTTACTATGTCAAGTTTAGGATTAAATTTTCTAGAAGTCATCATGTTTCTACAAACATATTTTGGCTCCTAAGGATCTCTTCTTAAAAAGCATCATTTGACATAATCTCACAGAAAATTAATTGTGCATAAGAAAGATATATCTATTGAGTAAAATTGAATCAACATTTTTTTGGTCACAAAATGCAGGGTCTAGCAATGTAAAAAGGAACTTGAACCTGTTAGTTATATTGCACTATGTAAGTCACATTCTATAAATCACTGTGAAGCACTACAGTTCTAGGTCCCAGATCTCGATTTTTATTAGTAAATAATGAAGAGCTACCCCTTAAAATACACCCCAGAGATTACTTTTAACCTGCTAAAATCAAGAATATATTTTCTCACATTCAACTAATAAAGACACTGCATTTCGTGATTCCAATCAGTTCAGCTCCTGAGCTTATCCCTTTGAGGGAGCTAATGAGCCTGAAAGTCCCATGTCCACATCAAGATATTTGCAAAATTAATTGGGAAAGTAGACATTCACTTATACAAGACAAAACAAGATATCCTATAACCTCAAGGCCACAGCACTGTGAAGCTTCAGAGAGAACAGAACACTAATAGAGGAGGAGAGGGCTCTAGCAGGTTCTCCCCCATGGGGAAGGTCTAAAAGGAGGAGAGCATCTCGGCAGAAAAAGAGGCATAAAAGCAAAAATACACAAGTCAAGTCTGCAGAGTGACGTCATAGCAGGATGGCGTCCCCGATCATGTGTGCGAATGAGGGCGGTGGTAAGATGAAGGGATGAAGGATGCTTGCTACCAGAGCTTATGTTCTACAAAATGTCAACACCGCTGACGGCTTGTCCTCCCTTCAGGGTCACATGGAAAAGGTGCATTCCCTTTGCAAAACTGCACTGACGTTGCTCCACTGGGTTAGCAAGAAACGGATCACGCTGAAGGACAGAGGCAGTGACATCAGCGAAAGTTAGAAAGCTATTTGCAATTGTACAGGTCTGAATTGATAGCAATTACATGCTCAACAGTCAGAAGGAATGGTAAGAGATGACTATATGATTTCATGTAACTATAAACCATGACCCATCTGAGATATGATCCTAATATGTTAATGTACAGCTTCATTTTCAAATTAAAAGTCTGATGGACAGCCTCAAAGCAAAACTTTAGTCCAAAAGGAAAAAGTGCTCCCTTAAGTGCACTGAGCACTCTGCAGAGAACCCACGGCCTTTAGTGAGGGGCCCCCTGCTGCAGCTCTGACAGGACACACAGCTCTGCCACACTCATATCTTTTACTTTACTCTGTGAGTATTTTAGAAGCCCCAGCACTACGCTGAGGGGCTGACTTTCATAGAACATCTCTTGAACACACAAAGGCAACTCCAGTACAAAAGTCTAAGGTTTGAAACTCAAACTCATGAGTGGACAACATGAAGTACGGTGTAATAAAATCCTAAGGTTCCCTTCTTTATGGCAATGTTAGTTCCTCAATATTTTCAGAACTGCAAGCTTCATTGGGTGAGAACTCTAATCCCCATTCATAATTTCACATAATAAACAATGTCTCCTTAATGCGTTCCTTCATAGGATTTATGAAAAAGTAAGGACATAGCAATGCTTTTATTAAAAAAAAAAGGAGGGCGGGGGGAATCCGTGGCCACATAGAACTGACTTCAAACCCTGACCTTCAATGCCACAGGACTGCTTGCTTATTATTTAGTTCTTCAAGCTATAGTTTCCACAATTCTGAAACTAGATATAAATTTCAAGGTGCCAAAGATTGCACATTCTAACACACTCAACTAAGTAAGAAAATTTATAGTCCTTCAAAGACTGGTTCTGGTTGATTCTTTAAAATAGAAAGTAGGCTTTTAAAATGCACTCATTAGCCTCAAATCAGCCAGTTTATTTTTTCAAATAAACGCATAATAGGATGTCTGAAAACTCATTTAATTTTCAGTTCAGCATACTACCAGTTCCCTGAGAGAGATATGAGGCCCATTCATATTTATGGTGCCAATAACTAAAGTTTCTATCCTCCCAGCAATTCTTACTATATTAACAATAAGACTACTGATATATCTTAGCAATTACGCATACTGAATCACATGAACACACACCTGACCTCATGTCTTTCTGCAATTTTATGATACCTAATTCAATATCACATAACAACAACAACAAAAAAAACCTCATTACAAAATAAGAACAGAAATCTAAAACTAAAGACTAAGCATTTAGTCAAATAAAATTTTCATTGATCACATAGTTATCAACAAAACTAAAGGAAATTGAAAATCAAAACAGAATGTAAAGACACTGACTTGCATATATTAGAAACTGCATGTTTACCTGACATTGCCCTTGGTGTTTCTGAGAACCGTTGCAGCAAAATTCTGGGTGACACCCACCAAGCTGACTCCATCCACCTCCACAATCTGGTCGTTGACTTGTATTCTACGGAAAGAAGAAGAAAATACAATCTATGACCAATTTGTCTGGTAATTCACTGCCACCCCCCAAAAATGAGACGGCAAAATACTTGACTTCTAAGACACTCTCACTTGTCTTTAACACACATGCCTAGATGCATTACAAAAAAAGTCAAGGCTCCAGTATTATTTGAGAATAATTTTATTTCCTTCACTGCTTCCATAAGGCTAACTATCAAACTAAGCTTTTTAAAGTAACTACCAAACTAACTTTAGTATTTAACGTCCTGAGGAAATTTTGAAATAGAAAAAAAATTGCATGCATGAGTACACACAATATATATACATTTATATATTTACACAATTCTTTTGTACTCTTATTTTCCATTTTACAATTCTATAGGTTTTGGGTTTTCTCCCCTTTTCCTTCCTTCCTTCCCTCTCCTCCCCAACGCCCCTTGCATCTTACAATACTAGGGTCCCTCAGCTGTAGTCTCAACTCCAGCATTCCACTCGTTACACGTTTTATGACATTGTAGTATGAGCAATGAATTTACTTCTGCTTCAAAAACTCAGCTTGTGGATCTCAATCTTACTGAGATCTCTCCATGCCCATTACAACTGTAATTATAATTAATACATTTTAAGAACCACACAGTGTTTTGTGAATATATCATAATATACAAATCCATTATTGTGAAGATGGACAAGCCTGTTGTTCTTCGATGATACTTTAATAACACTTTCATACTTGACTTCCTAAATACATGTATGTTTCTCCAGTCTACAGGTGAGCATATTTAGAAATGAAATTCTTGAGTAAGAGAATATAGGCATTTTAAAAATGATTTTTACGTATTTATTTACTGGAAAGCAGAGTTAGAGAAAGAGAAGGACACAGAGAGAAAAGGAGTGAGAGAGGGATATACCATTCACCGGTTCACTTTCCAAATGGCCACAATAACAAGGATTGGGCCAAGATGAAATCAGTAACCAGGAGCCTCCTTCGGGTACACTACGAAGATGTCAGAGGCTTAACCATTTGGGCCATTTTGTCTCCCCAGCCCTTTATCAGGGAGCTGTATTGGAAGTGGAACAGCTGGGACATAAACAAGCACCTATGTGGGCTGCCAGCATATCAGGCAGCAGCCTAACTCAGTAGGTCACAACGACGACTACTATATAGATTCTTTCAAATTTATTACATTTTGGCAAAATCTCCACACCACCAGGAATTGTACGAGCATGTCCTTTAAGTATTGTCAACCATACAGCTTAAGAAGATACGATTGCTAATTTCACTTCTCTAATTACTAGTGTATATGAATATTTCATATAAGCCCTCTTGTACTTCCACAAACTATTAGGTCATTTCTTTTACCCATTTGTAGTTAGTTTTAGGTTGAGAGTTATTTTTCTTATTGCTTCATATAAGATGCTGTTATATAGCTTATACATTATATATCCTGTACCTGAACATTTTCTCAAAGACAATACCTTTGAGACCACTAAAAATAAATTTCAATTTTTTATTATTTATTTTTATGTGTGTTCATCACACAGAGTCCTTATCTCCAGCACATCTACCAATTCAACATAGCGATTATGAAAGGCCAGGAATAGAATGTAGAAGTAGATGGAAAAAACCTGGATAATGGGTGGTAAAAATTCATGATAGCATATTATGTTTTATAGAATGAACTGGAACAGAGAGCTGATTGTCTCCAAATGCAGAGAAAAGAGCAGCAAATGACAAAGGCTGGCTCTCTGGCATGGCTGGTTGAAGTTGTGCAAGTGTGTCTACATGTTACACTGAACCTCTTTTCAAATGGGTACTATTACACCTTAACCTCAAATTTAAATTAACAAAAAATATTTAAAGCAATAAAGATGAGTGTTTAGAGCACTACATAGCATTAGAGAAGTCCTAAGATTCAGACTTGCTTTTAAGAAAAACAGTATGGATAGAGCTGCGCCTTTCTATGGGGGATGGGGTAAGAGGCTGGGGGAAGCAAAAAGTAAGCTTGCGCATTTCAATAGCCAAATGACCTGAAATGATGGAAGCCTAAGGAAATGAGTGTCTTAATGGGCAAGGTGAAAGGACACACGAGGTCAAAGAACTTTCTGAAAGTATCCACCCTCTTCATAGTGATTCGATAAAATCCAGGGAAACAAGAGCAACTGCAGAGACTAAGCACTCAAAAAAAAATTAGCAAAACTGCTGGGAAGATTTAAGTAGAGAAAAAGAAAAAAGCACTTGCCTCATTGATTTGATGGGTTGGTACAGTCAGCTGTTTAGTGACCCGACGATTGGATCCTGAGTGTATTCTAAGGACAGAGCTATCAGGCTAAATATTGGAGGGAGGCATGTGGCCTGTCTGAGAGTGACATGCACATACATGTGCCAACCACATACATATTTACACACGTGTGTGCATGTATGACACCATGTGGGAGGCCTGACCTCAGCCTGGTCCAGCCCCTACTGTTGCAGACATTTGAGGGATGAACGGGTGGAAAGTCTGTCTCACTCCCTCTCTCCCTCTTTCTCTCTTCTCCCTCAGTGTGTGTATGTTCATCTGCCTTTCAAATAAATAAAAATACATATTTTTAAAAACTATGATGCTGGCCCCAGTGAATTTTAGCTCAATTAAAAAAGTGCTAAAAATTTTCATGATGAGAAACACTACTGCCGTTATAAAATCCGAAGAGGTTATTTCTTTTTTGAGAATAAAAGTGAAGATGGCTACCAATAAATTGCTTTCAAAAGCAAAATATTAACCAGCTCACTTTCTGGACGGTGTTGTGGCACAGCATGTTAGCCTGCCATTTTTGAATGCCAGCATCCTAAATCAGAGTACCTTTTGAGTTGCTGCTTTGCTTTTCAATCCAGCTCCTTGCCAATGCACCTGGGAGAACAGTGGAAGATGGTTTTCAGGTACTACCTGGGCCCCTCCCAAGTATTTGGGTCCCTCACCACCCGCATGAGACATTCTGTTGGAGTTCCAGGCTCCAGGCTTTGGCCTGGCCCTGCCCCAGCCACTGTGGCCACCTGAGGACTGAATCCAATGAGTGGAAAAATCTTTGTGTTTCTCCCTCTTGCTGTCACTCTGTCCTTCAAATAAACAAACAGCTTCTTTACAAGTGTGATACATAAGCAGTCAGCTGAACATTCATACAAAAGGTTGATGTCAAACTTCGTTGGTGCAAAATATTAAGCTGAATGCAATGGGTAAATAGACCCCTAAGATACGGTTCCCTCCCCAGAATGTGTGATATTTCTATTGACATGCATCAGCATGGCTTCCTAGGGGAACATCTGCGCATGCCATCACTGGATCCGAGGACAAGATATACAGCCAAGATGGTCTCACCAGAAATTCACAAATCATTTTCAACATAGCTTATTCCCTCATGATAAGATGGTAACTTCTGTTTAATTGAACATTTTAAAAAATAAAAACTATCTTATTCAATGTGCATAAGGAAAAACAGCGGAATTTAAAATGATTTTGGAAGTCACTTTTCTGGGTCTTTTTTTCACTTCCTGCTGCCAGCCCCAGCCTGACATATCAGGACCTCGTGTAAGGGTGAACAGAAATCTTTACATGGTAAGTATTGCGTATCATGAGATGATGAAAGTGAATACAAAAACAAGTGTCTGGTGCTCTGATAAGCATCGGACTTACTTAAGGTGGCTGTTTCAGTGCAACCCCCAGACCCTTGTCCTAGTAGACATCTTAATTCCACACGCTCAGAGGTCCTCAAGAACCTGCGATTCTGGAAATCCCACTGTCAAAATACACATCTCCAGAACTGCCATCCGTGCACATCACAGTTCCTGACTTCCCTTCCACCTGTGTCCTCTTTTTAAAAAATTCCAGAATTGCAGCTGGTGTTGTGGCACAGTGGGTAACACCACTGCCTGCAATGCCAGCACCCGTATGGGTGCTCGTTTGTGTCCCAGCTATCCCACTTTTAATTTAACTCACTGCTAATGGTCTGGGAAAAGCAGTGAAAGATGGTCCAAGTGTTTGGGCCCCTATCATCCACATAGGAGACCCAGATGAAGCTCCTGGCTCCTGGTTTCTTCCAGGCCCAATCCCGGCTATAAGCAGCCTTTTGGGGAGTGAATCAGTGCATGGAAGATCTCTTTTTAATCTTTCCTATCCCATCTCTTTCCATGACTCTCAAACAAATAAATCTTTTTAAAAATAAATAAAAGTGCCAGAACTGTGATCATTTGTTCTGGTATTTCTGCGGTGTAGCTATATGGTGGAACATGCTCTCCAGGCATCCTCATCCATGTTGCTGCCCATGTCCCCATGGTCAGACGAACGGACACAAAGATAGAGAGGCACAGAAATGTGCCTAACCGCTTATCTAATATGTTGAAAGAATGCCAATGTTCAGTGTACAAATCAGAAAATCATTTAGGAATTTTCACATTGCATCTGAGGAACATTCTACAATTTTTTCCTGAAAAAAGTAAAAAAGATACCATGGGGAGCGAGCGACAGACAAGTTTCCTAGATGACTTGCAGTGAACAGTGTCTTTGCTCACCTGCCATCCCGCTGGGCAGCACCGCCTTCGGTGACCGTCTTCACAAATATGCCCAGCTTTTCTAGCCCGGCATCTGCTCCAACACCCATTCCGATGATACTGATGCCAAGACCATCCTCATCTGTAGAGAGGAAAGAGAGATATCCTGGAGATCACATTAGGCTGTGACTAGTGGGAGGTCAGTGGGGTGTTTCTGGTCTCGATCTTGTATTTTCCTAGGAAACATAGAAGGCTTGCCTTGGCAGGATTTTTTTTTCCTAATCCCTGGGAGTAAGGGTACCAAAAGTTTCCTTAGTTCATCTCACTCCACTCCTGCAGTTGGAGAGGCACTGGGCTCTGAGAAAAGGTACGAATTTGGTTACTGAATAATCAATCTGACTTAAACACAGATTGTCTAAATAACCTTCTGAATTATGTTAGGCATAAAAGCACACATGCTCGAACTTGTGCACAACTTTATATAACTGTGATCATAACATATGGGGATTTCTTTTGTATTCTTATGTACTTTTCTTTTTTTCTTGTCCACTCATGCTAGCAAGCCCATGTGAGTTTTTGAGTACTTTGCTATGTGTCAATAACATACAGATAGGTACTTCAGAAATACAATATTTACATATTACACAACAGATACATAACACACATGCATATCTACACAGACACATTTGGTTTGCTTTTCTTTACAGAAACCATATCATAGCTGTTTCTCCCTGCAACTCACTTTTTAGAATTCCATGAGGTTTTGTGGATATTGGCTTGCACAGCTCTAAATCACTTCTAGTAACTATAGGATATTTCATGGTGAGAAATCATGTCTTAGATTCACTTAGAAATCACAAGCTTATCCATATTTTAACTGTCCTCTCAATGAGCATAAATAGTTGAATTCCAATGAAACAAAATGCACAGTATTTTGCGTACCATATTTATTGCTTAACATTCAAAGTTATTTATAGATAGCCTCAAAGTTTTGGCATCCATGATTTACTCATAGCACAAACACCAGCTGATCAGCAGTTAAAGAATATTAAAGGGAGATTGTGCCACCATTCACCAGCACGTGGGCCATTAGATTTCCTCCTCATCCAAATGCCAATTTTTCTACTGAGTGTAGCTGTTTCTTACTTTCATGGCAATCTGCAGTTTCTTAGCGTGTTGCAGATCACACCTCTGTCACCCGTAAGGCACGCCCCTCCCCTGCCCCCTTTAGATCCTTCTCTGTTAGTTTTGTTTAATGCAATAACCTTCAAAGCTTCACATTTTGGATGACTGCATAGGCTCACTTTTTTCCTCCATTTTTGGTTTCCTACTTTGGTTGAGCCTCATTTGAAAGTTAATTTTAGGTGTGAATTTGATAAGATTGCGGACTCCCTAGAAACCTGAAACAGTGCGATTCTGGGCTGTTTGTGAAGCGGTTTACAGGGGAGTTAGTGTGGGAGTCTGGTTGGGCAAGGAGGGGGGAAGATGGACACCACTAGTTGGCCAGGAACTTGGAGACAGAGACAGGTCCCTCCCTGCAGACCTGGCTGCTGCTCTTCTGTCCTTGGCATCACATCAACAGGCTCTCCAGCCCTCTGCCCCAGGCTCTACGCCATCCGGCCCTGGACACCAGTGCCTTCCCTGTTTGGAGGCCACGGGACTGACAGGATGCTATCCCAGGGTCTCGAGTCCACAGTCTACTCCTCAGGAGGTTTCCCAGCTGAAACAGTCACATCACTCAATCGTCTATCAAATCCCTTCTCTTATTTGCATATTCTTATTCCACTGATTTTAACTCTGAATAATAATACAAGGCCCCAAACCCAGATGAAATTTTCTTCAAATATCTTAATTGTTTGCCTTTAATGATTTAGCCCACATGGACTTATTTGCTACCCCATCAAGTAACAAAGGCATCGAACTCTATAAATGCAATCTTCCAGAGAAATGTGCAGCTAGGCCAGAACAATTACTGAAGCCTCTGTTACAGCTAAGTCGAAATGCCATGCATATCACATGGCAAATTCTCAGACACAATACTGCATTTCTCTGGATTTTCTATCATAATCCACTGATTAACTGCTCTGTGAGAATAATTTCAATGTAATTACGCAACCTTTATCTTATTGATAAATCAAGTCCTTCACATTCTTCTTCATACATCTGAGAGCTTTTTTTTCCATATAAAATTTAATATCACTTTACGTAATTTCCTCTCCCAACTCAACCATCTTGACAGCAATATTTAAACTGTACTGAATCTATATTTAAATTTATCAAAAACTTTCTGTACTAAGGATTCTTATCCAAGAATGTCTTTCAGATTTTGTCTTTGATAAATATTCAATAAATTACACATTGTTTTAAATTTAGTATGTATTTTGTTACATTGATACTACTGTAAGTGAATTTAGTATCTTTCCCATTTCTTATTTCTTAATGTGAAATACATATAAAAATGTTAATTTTTATATGAACATGGATCTGACCTCCACTTTCATAAACTGTCTTACCAAGTCTTATATTTTAGAATCAGAATATATTGCTATTAAAAAATACAATTATGACCATTATGGTTAGTGAAATAAGCCAATCCCAAAAGGACAAATATCATATTTTCTAAGGCAGCCTTCATGCAAAATACAAGATTAACAGATACATAGGTAAGCAAGCATGTACATGGAGTAATTTAGGGGAACTGTGTACTAGAGATGATCATAAAGAGATGTGAAGATACAATGCAGTAAGCATCTTTACATCCAAACCAAAGATGAACTCCCAATGAAACTATTAAATGTATTTAGACAACAGGATGCAGGACTCTGCCATTCTCCATACCTACAATGTCAGGATACACTGAAATGGCAGAATGATGGCCTTATGATTGTTTTAGAAGGATTATACTATCATAATAATCTAGGGGAAATTAGCAGGGGAAGGGAGAAATAATAACAATAAGGATATCCATAGGGGCATATCAAGAAAAAGTGATGTTTTTGACTTTTTACTCTCTGCTCCTGCTACAGATCACTTCATTCTGTTTCAGATGAAATGCCGTGTTTCCTCAATTTAGAAACAGATGCTTGCTACTGTGATATGCATAGCTTCTGTGAACTGAAGCAGTTGCCGCCTTGTGCAAATGTAAGTAGAGTTTCTATATGAGAGAATTGTCATCAATTAACTTTCCAAACAACAGTAAGGCCTTGAACTGCTACGTGAGTAGATTTGTTTTTTATAATAAACCACACTACATATTCTTATTTAAAACCCTACTTAGTATTCCTGCATTTTTTCCTTGAATATTTCTATATTTAATATTGCTTCCTTTGAAACTTTAAAATATACATTCATAATGGGAGTTGTACTACCGTAATTTTAGGTTGCAAATGAACGTTTTGTGTGAACTTTTTTTGGGGGGGCTACACTACTTTGACAGCTTTCCTTCATTTTTCAGATTCCAAAGTAATCAAAATAACATTTGATTAATCTGTTCTATAAAGTCAGAATAGAACAACTTGGTTCTGATGACTTTTTAACACATTTTTATTTACCATTCTATTTTCTTCTATAAAAATTGGTTTGTTTTCTTCGAGCTGATTTTGATAATTCATCTATTTTTTAATAAGTGCTAAAGGCTACCCTGGCATTCACTCTACTGCCAAAAAAGATCAGTAACTAACAGCTGGCTTGCTCCGCACATTGCATATATATATTTGTGTTCCATTTATTTGCATATATTTACTTACGATTGTCTTTTGCCAGTAGTGTGAAGGGTTGATACACTTAGTTAAAAATTTGCATCAACTTATTTTATTAGCTTTGTTTTTTGCATTTCTATGTCATTAACATTGCTTTTAGTCATTTTTTCTGCTATTTTTAGTGTATTTGCTATTGTTGCTTTCTGACACATATATTTTTTCTTTTTCCATTTTTAATTAAAAATTAAAAATAAATTTTTTAATAATGTTTACATAGTTGACAGGAATGTATGCTCATGTGTGTCTCCAACTAGGGTGGGGAGGGTCCAGGTATAGAAGAAGGTGGGTGGGACAAATGTTTCAGTTCCTTTTTTTTCTGTTGCATCTGTTGGCAGGGAAGGGAGCTGCTCCTTATTGTCAAACTATATTAACTCCTGGTGATGGGGGAGAGTCATCTGATGACGTGTTAAGAGGCCTCAATGTGGGGAAGAATGTTCCAAGAGTGCTATTTGAGTGATTTTGATAGTTCTAAGACATGGTTGACCTTGTTAACACCATGGTTAAGAAAATCTTTCCTAGGTCTATTGGCTGACTGAGTCCACTTCAAGGTGCATCCACAGACCCAGATACATGCTGCAAAGCTTGCCAGGAGAGTTGTCCAACCTGTTCTGCTTCCCATCCCTGATGAGGCACTCTACATCCTCTGCTGGTCCATGAGCTGCCTGACATGTTTGCTCTGTGTATCTGGGCATGCTATCCCCTGCACAGGCATCAGCAACTGAGAAGGCCTAGCTCTGACACAGGCACTCTGAGGTCAGATCCCATTTCTTAAGCTCTTCCTTGTGCCTGGGGTTTGAGTTGAAGGATCTAGTTGAGAAGGCCTCCCAAGAAACCTCACCTGCGTTAATCTCAAATTTGGTTCTTTGATATGCCAGTTTGTGCAGAGTCTGTCATCTGCACCAGCCAATAAACATTGGTAGATGCAGCTGCTGGGGCAGCCCCACGCACAGCCCCATCTCTTAGGTGAGCCTTACTTCTGAATAAGGCCTCCACTTTGTGTTATAAAATTTTAGAAGAGTAAACCTTTTCAAGATGGTGTGAAACGTTAGATTTAACTTTCTTTTTCCCCAAACATCTACCTAGCAATGTATTATCCATTTTCCAAGTTTCCACAGTATTAAAGAGACTGCTGGAATTTTTTCCAGACGATAGTATATTTTCTTTTTCAGAGACAGTTTTAAGTTGAATGAATCACATTATTCCAGTCTTCTGTTGTCCCTTCTTGCCTTCTGTCTATAGGTCTGGCTATTTCCTTTAGGAAATGTACTGAAACCTGCAATAATTACATTGGATTGTTTTGTAGTTGGACCTTTCAAATTCTGAGTAGGGATAAGGCATACATATAAGAGTTTGTGGAAATGTGTTGCCTACAAAACATTATATTTAAAGAACAACAAAAATAACAGAAGAATAAACACCCATGACCAAGTGTCACAGAACACAGCAGGCGCCCACCAACCACAGTGTCGCTCCTGACGCACCTCTGGCTTGCTCGCCTCTACCACGTACACTGTGTTCACCACTCCTTCATTCACTTACAATCGCTTTAAACAAGTTCCCCTTATTTGTGCATCCCTATATCATGTGCTGCTGTTTTCTCATTGTGAAATTTAAATAAACAGACTTAGCTTCCACTACGACTTGCTTTTACTTTCCCTCAACTTCTGATTTTGTAAGGGTCAAACTGATTGGCGCATGTTGGGTAGCTCATTCATTACTGCTTAGCCACATATTATTAACCAGATATGCTACAACATATACACTCTACTGTCCAAGGGTATTTGGCAGTTTGGCATGTCTTTGGGGGTAGGGGGAGGAGGGCAGAGGGCATTACAAGCAGTAATTAGCCGATGGCCAAATCCAACTATTTTTGGTGGACCCATGAGCTGTGAGGACAGTTTCCTGCCTTGGTACCCTTATGGGCGGTTTCCACATAACACTTAGCCAGCCTCACTGTCATTGTCATCTTGTCCTAGTTGATTTTCCCACTTAGTGGGGCTCTGATTGTGCCTGACAACCTACACAGCGTGACGTTGGACCGCCTTAGGCCCTGGGCGAAGCCTCAACACTCCGTCACAGATGGGAAAGCAGCAGCAGAATCCTGAGGTGTGCAGAGAGCTCCCATCATCTTTTCTTCCTCCTGTGATCTATGCATTCTCCGCGTGAGTTCCCTCCTGATGCTTCCCAGATGCTGAGCCTGCCCTTTGAGAAGCAGCTGCAAATTTTTTCTGTTTTTAAAAGTGTTACTTATTTTTATTGGAAAATCAGATATACAGAGAGAGGAGGAGGGACAGAGAGGAAAATCTTCCATCCACTGATTCACTCCGCAGGTGGCCACAACGGGTGAGTCAATCCTAAGCCAGGAGCCAGGAGCCTCTTCCAGGTCTCCCACATGAGGGCAGAGTCCCAAAGCCTTGGGCCATCCTCAACTGCTTTCCCAGGCCACAAGCAAGGAGCTGATGGGAAGTGGAATAGCCAGGATATGAACTGGCGCACATGTGGGATCCTGGCACAAGAAAGGCAAGGACTTCAGCCACTAGGCTACCACACTGGCCCCAAACGTTTTTTTTAATTTACTTTTTTTTTTATTGGAAAGTCAGATATACAGAGAGGAGGAGAGACACAGAGGAAGATCTTTTATCCAATAATTAATTCTCCAAGTGTCCGCAATAGCTGCACCAATCCTAAGCCAGGAGCCAGAAGCCTCCTCCGAGTCTCCCACCTGGATGCAGTGTCCCAAGGCTTTGGGCTGTCCTCTGCTGCTTTCCCAGGCCACAAGCAAGGAGCTGATGGGAAGTGGAATAGCCAGGATATGAATTGGCGCACATGTGGGATCCTGGCACAAGAAAGGCAAGGACTTCAGCCACTAGGCTACCACACTGGCCCCAAACGTTTTTTTTAATTTACTTTTTTTTTTATTGGAAAGTCAGATATACAGAGAGGAGGAGAGACACAGAGGAAGATCTTTTATCCAATAATTAATTCTCCAAGTGTCCGCAATAGCTGCACCAATCCTAAGCCAGGAGCCAGAAGCCTCCTCCGAGTCTCCCACCTGGATGCAGTGTCCCAAGGCTTTGGGCTGTCCTCTGCTGCTTTCCCAGGTCACAAGCAGAGAGCTAGATGAGAAGTGGGGTCTGAGGGATTAGAACCGGTGTCCATATGGGATCCCAGCGTGTGCAAGGCGAGGAATTTAGTCACTAGGCTACTGCATCAGGCCTTGGAACTTTTCTTAAAATTACATGTCTAGGTTACCAACTGAAGTTTTGAGCAATAGTCATCCTTTTCTTATTAATTCCTCTAATGAAATTTTTTATCTGAAATAAGGCAGCACATTGTTGCTGCTAATTTCCTTATGCACATCTTTCTAATGCCACGCTTGAGGGGATCTCTTGTTTGTTTGTTCAAGTTGTCCTCTGTCTGCGCTGCTCCATACTGGAAGCTTTCTGGATGTGTTACTTTCCCATTCACTGACTGGCTCACAGTTGGCTCTGGGTACCCATCGGTGCCCTCCCCCTGGCCCCAGGGGATCAGGAGACACTGCGGCAGCGAGGCAGCTGTTCTGGTTCTCTTCTCCCTTTGGAGACACAGCATGCAGCTCCACTGTTTCAGCTTTCCTGGGCTCCACCGCCTTCACTCCAGATGTTCACACGATAATACAGGCTTTCCGGTATTGACCAGCAGGGTCTGAGCCTGCCCATGGCCACACTCCTGCCACCAAAACTAAACAAATGACAAGCACCTGTCCCCAGCTCTCACTTGTACCAGCTCTGTCTGGGCCCTCTACCACCCCAGCACTTTCTGAGAACACACAGAGTGCTAGGCTGCACCCCGACATCACTGGTGCCAACCACCACACCAACAGCTCAAATGGAGGTGTCGGCACTGGGAGGAAAGGGAGTCTCGGTTCACCTGCCCCAGAATCCAAAACAATCGTGGAGAATGAAAATGTCACCAATCCCAACAGCAGTGGTTCCAGTCAGGAAAAGCAATGCTGTGAGACCATGAGCAACTCTAAGCAGAGGTGGCATGCTCACGTACCTTTCTCCAGATGCACCGGGAACAGTTCCAGCTTTTCAACCCGTTTCTCAAGCTCATACTCTGCTGAAGCGGCCACGGGGTCCACCTCGTCATTTCTCCTGTCGTACTCTTCATTGGAGTACGTGTTGAACACCTGCGGTGAGAGGTCCACAAGAGGATGACACTACGCAAACCACTGCTTTGCTACAAAAACACAATCTTACGTCTTCAATAGCAGGTAGGTTAAAAACAACTAAATAGTATGATGAATTCCTTCAAAAACCACTATTTTGTCTTTAAAGACTATTATATTATATTTTATTTTTTTCAGATACACAAAGAGGGGAAGAGACAGAGAGGAAGATCTTCTATCTGCTGATTCACTCCTCAAGTGACTGTAGTAGCCAGAGCTGAGCCAATCCAAAGCCAGGAGCCTAGAACTTCTTCTGGGTCTCCCACACTGGTGCAGGGTCTCAAGGTTTCTGGGTCATCCCCAACTGCTTTCCCAGGCCACAAGCATGGAACTGGATGGGAAAGCGGGGCTGCCAGGAATAGTACCAGCGCCCATAGGGATCCCGGCAGGTGAGAGGCTAGGACTTTAGCCACTAGGCTACCATGCTTGGCCCAGAGATATGATCATTTTCAATAGTTAAAGAGACGACACCACAAAATAAACTGTTTGAATGGAATGCACATCACCTTTCACTCAATCAGAATAGCATATGTGATTCTAAGGAAAAGCATCTCATTGCTACCCAAGCAAACGCCCCCTCTGAGGCTGTGTGGTTGTGCCATCTCTACTAACCCCAATCCCAGGATCACCAGACCTGCTTTTCTTTCCCTCCTGTCCTGGTCTATGTGATAGTTAATGAGCTATTCGTTGTACCTGCATACAGCTTATTCATAAATTTTCATTGCATATGTCCATCAGATGACTATCACAATATTGCTCAAACGCTACAGGGGGAGGAAGAAAAGCACAGGTCTTTAATTGTGACCCAGCCCAGTCTTCAAATCCCCCAGAGACGTTTGATTGCCCTCATTTCTGGTGAAATAACTGCCTTATCTGAAAAGGAGCAGAAATAACGATCCAATTCCTGTCTTAACACTGAAGAATATTTAAAAGACACAAATGCATAATTGCAGCTCATTCATATGTGTAATAGAACCTGACCTTTTTAAAACAAAATTCAACAATCATTAAGTAACTCAGCTATGCCAGCAAAAACAAGTTTATTCACAAACTGTAAAATTCAGTAGTAGTTTTTAAACTACTAGATGCTATAACAAAGACAGAAGGCTGGACGGAGCCCAGCAGCTATGCTGCCTCTTGCAGGGATAGGTGTGGTGGTGGTTGATTGTCCCTGGCGTGCCTGTTTCCTGCAATGGAGTACCTACCTTGAGCCCTTGCCACTGTGCTTCTGATCCAGCCTCCTGCTAATGTGAATCAGCGGTGGGGGCTCCAGTACTGGGCCCCTAACACCCATCATGGGAGGCCCAAATTGAGTTCTAGTTCCTGCAGTCAGCCCTACTCAAACCTCACTGTTGCACGCATTTGGGTAGTTACACAGGAGTCTGCATGTTCTCTTCCTTCTCTCTCTCTCTCTCTCTCTCTCTCTCTCACACACACACACACACACACAAACACACACACACACACACACACACACAATTTTTGAAACAAGTGATGCCATTTGGGATGCCCATATCCTTACACGGAGTAGCTGGGTCTGAAGCCTGGCTACCCTGTTCCCCATCTCCCTTTTGGCTGGTGTGCACCTTGGCTGGCAGCAGAGAATGGCTTGCATATTTCAGTTCCAGCCACCTATGTGATAGATGTGCAGTGAGTGCAGACATTTGGACAGTAAACCAGAAGTTGATTCCTTCTTTCCTTCTTTCCTTCTTTCATTCCTCCCTCCCTCCCTCCCTCCCTCCCTCTCTCCCTTCCTTCTTTCCTCCCCATCCTTCCTTTTCAGGTAAATAAAAATCAAATAGAGTGTTTACGACATATTGCATAATTTCTGTTTACAGAAGAGCAGCTCCGGAAGAAATCATGTCTGTCACCCACAAAGTTGTTCCTGCTGGTCAGCTATGTCTTATGTACATTAACAGAAAATGCCAGTTCTTACATTCCACATCTGGGAGCCTACAAACAGGAAATGCGTGTAGACTGTATAAAAGCAGATAATTCCTAATGGAACATTCTTCTTAAAATCACATCAGCTGCAGGCTTTGCATTTGAATGGATATTATCTTTCTTCCTGACTTGCAACATGTTTTCATGACCTCTTGCCACTTGGACCCTCCTTCCGTCTCTGTCTCCACCACAGCTAACATTATTGCAGCAAAATGCATATTTCTTTACTCCAGAGATTATACTTTTACTTATCTTTTCACAAAATATGCTTTGTGCAGCCATTCCATGGAGTCTTCTGGTATCTGTTACTAACTCGCCAGGTTATGACTTTCTCTTAGTTCTTTTGATCTCTCATATTGCCTATTTTTAAAAATAATTATGTATATCGTTTATTTTATCCAACAAAAATGTACAGGGTGTCAACACCATTCCAAACATTGTGATAGATCCTGGAGGAGGCCCAGGCACAGTCTCTAGCAATTCATAGTTTCTGAGACCCACAGAAGCAAAAATAAAAGAATATAGTTTAAGTTGACAACCTACATAACAGGATATATCAGGTGATTTATTTTCAATTTACCTGAGAAAGGCAAGAATTCTATGGGATGAGGGAAGGCAATTATTTGAATTAAAGTATAAACAAGAAGTTGCCTAGTCAGCTGAAGAAGAGCAGGAATGTTTACTGCATATATAAGACCCTTGGCCAAAAATAATTAAGTATATAAAAGCAATTGTGGGAACCTAAAGATAGTTGAGTAGGTTACAATGAAACATATCTAAGGGAATGAATTTTAACATCCCATGCAACAATAATTTTTGTCTTACATATCCTGGGAACCACCTGGGAGGTATAACTGGAAATTATTCCATGCTTACTACTCACCTATTTTTGCAACATGATTGCAGTAAAAGGGTTTAAGTGTATTCACTGAAGGGTTTAAATGATACTCATGCAGGAATCGAGCTCAATTTCACTAGAACACAACAAATGCATAAGCATGTATTTGTGTAATATATGAGAACTGCTGCAAACACACAAATGCTTTCTTAACTGGCTTTTCCGGATTGCCCCAAACTATTACCAAAACGTTTCCTGACAATCAGGCTGAGGTACTACATACTAGGCAGAAGGCATTTCTGAGCCATCAAGCAATTGGATGGTTGCACTACCATGTCATTCTATAGGTAACAAATAATGTAAGATACATCTCACCTTCCACTTGGTTACATTCTGGTTAATTACACAGGGGTGAAGGAAAAAAACTAAATAATTGAAAAAAAGATAAAACAGAATTCATTATTTGTAATACTACTGTTTACTTGGAATATTGAAGAAATATAATGGAAAGACTAATAGAACTAGTAAGAGTTCAGTAAAACAATCTTGGCTATAGAAAATCAAAATATTTTTGAAAAATTTTAGAAATATAACCAAAGAAGAAACTATAAAATATCCAGCAATTACTAACTATAAATGTGCAATGATTTCCTCCTCTATAAAATTTAACTGAAAAACACAAAAAGTCCTAAATCAATGTAAAGTTGTATTATTTTTCCGTATTAAAACATTTAATATTTTAATAAGCCCCTGCTCCACACTTAGTATAAATAGCAGCTTCATATTAACATACACATTTAGAGCAGTAAAAATTAAAATCAAATTCAAGTTACAGTGGAAAAAACAGACTATAAATGAAAATAGATCCTACAAGACATCAAAATACACACTAAAACTTTATTACAGCCATGTAGTTTTGAATATGGGATAGATTTACTTTTTTATAGCATAATACTGTTTTGCATTCCTATTCGTTTATTCTTTTTTATTGAAATGAGTTACAGAGTTCTCTTTAATATAATATAGAGAATTAGATAATCTGAAAAATGCTCTTATTTCTTTAACAGAGATAGAAATCAAATTTCCTAACACAAAAATAGTACATGTACACACACTTAAAAGTGCCATAAGAAAATATGGGACAATGTTTAACTAATAGAGTGAACAGAAAGTCACAGACTGTAAAAATCTAAAGGAAATAAATAAACTGATTTAAAATATCACTGCTAGGGACAGGCATGGGGCAGAGCAGCTAAGACGTCACCCAGGGCACCTGCGTCACACACTGAAGCATGTGCATGCCAGTGCTGGTTCCACTGCGGAATCCAGGCTGCTGCCCACAGGCACACAGGGACGGGGCTGATCAGGGCTTAAGTAATGCTTGCCACTCACAGAGGACCCAGGCGGGCTCTCGGTTCCTGCCTTAGGCCTCATCTAGCCCAAGCTGCTGCAGGCAGATAAAAGATCCCTGTTTGCCTAAGCCTCTGTATCTCTCTTGGAAATAAATATAAAACCAAATCATGAAGCTACTCACTCCTTTTTAAAAAGCAATGCTGAAATCTTCCAGACATCAATATATGCCATAATGTGGTTATAAGAAAAAGTCACAGTTTTGGAAAAAATGCTGCCGAAGCATAAGGTGAAATATAAGCTCTCACATAAAGAACTTCACTAAACAATTACAAGTGTATATAGGAAAAATAAATTAACTGATAACAAAGAAGTATAAACATCCAATCAATGATGAAAAGATGCTTAGTTTCATCAGAATTAAATGAGTGTGTAAATGGAAACAAGGTAATAGCCCATTCACAAATAGGAATGGCTATTCTGATATTTGTGAGTATGACAAAGAATATTATGGGAAAAACAACTCCATGAAATGCAAAATTTGATGATATATAAATGCCCTTGATTTATTAGCGTCACATGAACTAGTTACAGAAACGAGTACGTGTAGAAAACCATTACAGCATTATCCACAGTGGCCCAAGCGGAAATGACCCAATGTCCACCCATGGAAAGAACAATGGCTTACTAAAGTAAAATACTTGCAGACATGTAACTGTACGTAGTGACTGAAGAAGTCCAAATCTCTACTGACGTGAAGGACTTTGCAGCAGATGGCTGATGAAACCAAAGGAACACTTAAAGAAGATACAGATACAATTTATATGAC